CGTCGTTCTCTCCATTCACTAAATACTTTCGATGAAGTCATTTGCTTAAGGTTGATCTGTTGTTCGGGGCCTAGTATTATGTGATTTTTGTAATCCTTTCTGGTTTTCTTCCATCTTGATTTATTTTGAACTTTGTGCTAATAGGTGTCTTTGAGTAGCAGTGTTAAAATCTCAAAGGGGATAGGAGCGTTTTTTTGTTTTCATTTTTGCATCAGATATTGCAAAAATGCTGAGGACTGGAAGTGTCACTTAACTTCCGCCTACTTTATGAAAGTGCTCAAAGTACTTAAAATGCATTAGTTAGTTCTACATTATAAGCACTCTCGAGTATGTTATCTCCAGCCCTCTTTTACTTTTGGGGGCCGTAAGCTTTGATTTTCGATTTTAGATCTTTCACTGCATACCCTGTCGCTGGCCCCGCTGGTGACTTTGTTCACAGTTAAACAACATTGCAACTCTAATTGTTTCGTTCACGAAGGTTCTGAAAGGCGACCTTTTTTTGCTTACTTTGAGCGCTCTTTCGATGGACCTTCACTTGCGAAAGGTTTTATCTTAGGTGTGGATCTTGCCTTACTTTTTTGCCAGAAATCTTTGGAGCCGACCCGATTCCACTTTTAAACTCCACCGTTTATCACGTGCTTCCTGTCTCGATTTTCAAGAATAAGGTGCCTGCAAAACGTTTGCACTTCTCTTTCCTATTGCTGCGCATTGCATTTCCATGCAAATGTCGGCGCACAGTCTCAGTTTTTACGCCAAACTTTGTTTTATTGTTGGGTGCTCCACCAATCGATGATTTCTACTCCCTTATTAGTGTTGACACTTCTGATACGATTTTGAAGGCCAAATATTTTTATCTACTCATTTTCAGTAAGGGCGGTTGTCATGTTTGTTGCTTTTGTGCTCATTTGATCTCTTTCTGCCAATTAGGTATCAAAACTTCAAGGTGAAGTTTTCCATCTGACTGCAGAAAAGACGCGATTGAGTGAAGAACTGAAACAGGCACTGGAACACACGATTGAGCTGAAGGAACAGGTTGATGCTGCTCTTGGTGCTGATCAAATGGTCAGTGTACTCACTCAAAAGAACCTAGAGTTGGAGGAGGCAGTGGAGAAACTCACTGAGGAAAGAAACGACTTGGTAGGCTTTCCTCCTTCCTCTTCTTCCTATTCTGCTACATTGACTCCTTGGTGGCAAATGATTAGCATTATTTGCAGTTTGTGTTGCGAAAGGTAGTAAATGGCATCTCATCACGTTTTCTTCCGACTTTTAAGGGTTGCGTTTGCTCCTCTCGATCCCCTGTGAAATGCAGATATTTATGCTGGAGGGCATAATTTTATCAGAACAATAGGCTTTCTTTGCTAGACTAGCACATCAACACTCTTTTTGAGTCCTGCCATTTCAAAAATTGGCTTATCTTTAGCTGTGCGGCAAAAATGCTACAGTTGGCCGCACCTTCATGCTACAACAGGGCCGCTGGGTCTTCATCGCCTAATTTGAGCCTTGATTTAGAGCATGATTTCTTAATGTTGTGGTTTACAAAAGGGTGAAATTTGAGGTCTATGCACTTCTGAGTTGCAGACATGGAAGGGGTCTTGCCTGAAAATCACTTATCAAGGCCTCTTTTCGTGCTGCAAAGGCAGAGTTTCCAGTTGAATCACCGAAGGTGGTGGTTTCAAATCTTAAAAAGTGATGGATATCAAACAGCTAAATTGGATTAGTTTATTTGCATGTAGTGGTGCAAAGTTTTCTAAGCATGGTATACCCTTGAGGTGTGGCAATCTATAAGTGCCGCAGCGCTCCTATCACTGCAGGAATCTCTGTGCGAAATGAATGATGAGTTGTTGGAAGGTGAACGTGAACGACAGTTGGAGTTGGCAGAGCAAGTTGACCTGGCGCGAGGTCAAATGCGCGAGCTGGTACGTCAGTTGGAGGCAAGTAGGGAGACAGTGGCAGACTACGAGCAAACTATCTCGAAGTTCCGCGAGGTCGTAACTCAACTCCAAACGCAGAACACCCAACTGGGTCAGGCTCTCGCCGACGCGCGCCGTTCCGCGAGCTCTGCTAGTCTTGCCGCCATGGCAGCGGACCAATCGGCTACTGCCGCCGAGGCTTCTGCTCTCATGCTTGGCAATCCAGCGGGCAAGCAGATGGAAGCTCAGACCGTTGCTAAGGTAATGCCTCCGTTTTCCCGGTTAAATTGAACCCGTCCTTCCCATATACTAATTCGAAAGCAGAGGCAATGATGCAAACATTTACGAGGCTAAGAATCTAATGACGCCGGTATACAGAATGGTCTCGAACTCTTCATGCTTTCATTATTTATTTGTCTACTGAAAAGGTAGGGCGATAAAAGGGAGGTTTCGACGGTTTTCTTCACTTGCTATGACCTGGTTTTTGGGGTCCCCGTTTCTCATAATGATCGTTTGCGAAATTGTACCATTTGGTTGTGCATTGTCACATCTGATGGAGTTGAAATTGGGAGTTGTGCCACTATTACAACTAGTCTTTGCGACTACCCACATGAATAAGGAGATTGTTCAAAGTCGGGTGTCATCATTCCTTGTATCCCTTTTCCGGCCGACTGGTGGATGTCGCCGGAGTTGGCTTCGTTCTCGCGCTTCCATGATGGAATCGGTCCTGACTTTGAGGTGTGCCGAAAGATAAGCGCATTTTAGGTCTATCCAACTAGAACAAGCGCAAGAGTCGATGCTTGACTTAAGGAAAGGCCTCTTCTGAGAGGTAGAATCGAAAACGTTATCGGTTTTATGCATACCCTCAGCACGGTGTTGTCCTTACTCCTCTAAAATTTTACACTTTTTCCCCATTTCCCTCCATTTTCGATAGTAGAATGGTGTTGAATCGTTTGGTGCTCAGGATGGTGTGGCAGGGTATATCAACTCAACCTCAATGCAGCAACAGCAGTAGCGCCAGCCTCACTTTGCAAAACCTTATCTAGTCTGCTTGATTGGTGCTTTGTGCTCCACTATGCACCGTGCACCGTGCTTTATTCATTTAATAACACGGTTACAATGGGTAATTCCTTTTCAAACACACAAAAGCGCCACGCAGATCCCATTTTAATGCAACGCATTGCATAGGGGTACTAACATTCACTCCACCTTCTATGTGTTAGCGTGATGGAATAAAAACTTGATCAAAGGAAAAGGCCCATTCATTACTCAGCGCAACGTTGTCAAGGCGGAGGATGGAATGCGTGCTGGTAACCCTCTCTCATCATCATACCCATGTAAATAGCCAAGGTTTTTGCATGCATGAGGTGATGCTTTTCCTATCATTTTGGATGAGCGTCTGTTTGACCAATGAGCACTCCATCACTTCCACTACTTCGAAACAAGTCAGGTGAACAGTCATTCTGTTACCTGACAACCTAGAATGTGAGCCCAATTTCTTGTATTTCACATGGGACAAATAGAAAGGAAGTATTAGGTCTCCAAGCACGTTGACAGGTGTAATGGCTCAACACCAGGCACGTCAAATGTAGGTGATAAGGGCGGCGTTTTTTACACTTAAAAAACGTCGAGCCGAGTGCACAGGTTGGGTGGGATGAAGAGTGATTTTGTTGAACGGCAACTACTCAGTAGTATTTTGTTCCTAACTTTCCTCCTTTGTCGATTGCTTTCTTCAAAGCCTTTTCCCTTCCGCCTCTTCGTTGTTGTTCAAAAACGGGTCTCCATGGCATGAGAACTATTTCCACG